AAAAAAAAAAAAAAAAAAAAAAAAAAAAAGTAAATATATGTAGAGGATTTCAGGGCTTCACTACAAAATTCTATGTGTCTGTGTTTTGATTCATCAATTGTGGCCAGCCAATCACTCCAAACATCACTATCTGTTTCTGATATTTCAGTTATTTTTGGCTCTCCTGGGTCATAGGATCCAACTGGCAGAGAGGCTTACATGACAGCTGGGACATATTGCACGACCTTGTCTCAACTGAGGCAAAATTATTTCAGGTCACGCATAAAAAGCATAGTAGTACACCCCAATAAAGAATAAGTAGCCTCCAATACCTGAGCAGGGCCACCAGGCATTGGGACCTTTTTTTCTGGCTGTTGGAAGCATCATATACTACTTGCCTTATACCTTAGATTAGAAGGAATATCTCTATTTTTTTGAAGCAATCTCACTCTGTCACGAGGCTGTCGTGGTGCAATCTCAGCTCACTGCAATCTTCATCTCTTGGGTTCAAGCGATTCTCCTGCCTCAGGCTCCTGAGCAGCTGGGATTACAGGCACCCGCCACCATGCCCAGCTAATTTTTGTATTTTTAGTAAAGACAGAGTTTCATCATGTTGGCCAGGCTGGTCTCAAACTCCTTACCTCAAGTGGCCCGCCCAGCTCAGGCTCCCAAAATGCTGGGATTACAGACATGAGCCACTGTGCCTGGCCTAGTTTCAATAGTTTCGCATCAGTGAACTCATGGAAATTTCACTGAGGTAGAAGTCCTATAAATATTTAAAGGACTTATTCTCTCCTGATTTGCATGTGTCTTACAAATATGCCTAGATTACTTTCTACTTTTTCCTCACCAGGTCCAATCATCATATTAATGTGCCATTTGACAATAAGGATTCAGCCACTGCCAAAAAGAATGATTATTTCTCCTTTTGAGTACAGTCACACAGGTTCATGGCCATAGTTTCCTGTAGAGAACCCTGAAATGTGGGTCTACTCTCATCCAGTTTTGGGCTCCCTTTCACGTAACTGAATGTGGATTTGCAAACTGGACATGTCTTAGATTTGATTTTGGGGCTGTGAGTCTGTGTTAGGTGATTCCAGTCAGCCTTTTCTTCACTTGCAATAGAACTCTTCTGCCTAAGAGACAGAGTAGAGACAGGGCTTGGCTTCAGCTTCCCCTGACTATAGTGTTCTTTCATGCATTCCCAATGATCACAAAACTCACACCTATACCTCACTGCTAAGAATTCCAGGAACTGGCCTTGGGTGATAACCAAAGTTGTAGAGGGTCTCACTTGAGGATGAAATGCTAAACAATTGATTTACAGGCTTGTTACCACCACCCAGACCACCAGGTGGCCCATTACACAAGATAACCATTGCAACCAGATAATGCTGACCTGCATGCCCTATCAGTCATGTGCTTTACCCAGCCCAGCCTTCATACCCTATCCCCGATGTTAATTCCCAGGCTTTGCCAAATAAACAGTCCTACAAGCTCTTTGAAAGGAGTCAGGAAATTCTCTCTTGTGCTGCTTCCCTTATCTCTTATGCCTTATCCAGGCATAAGCTTCAATGAAGCCCCTTGTCTGAGAAAACTGTTTCAGCCTCATTTCAATTTCTATCGTAGAGCCCAGGAACATATGGTCGGTAGCATATTCTTTGGGGATTTGTCTAGGATCATGGGACACGGGGGGTCTTTCTCTCCTGGAGGGGGAGACATGTGAGCTGACAGGACAGCTAGACAAGATTTCTTCATGACTGAAAATCACCTGCCTGAACTTTTGATTCAGTGTTACCACAATGGTGGCTTTCTCCAGACTCATGGACCTCCTTGCCTCTGCCCCTACTGGGCAATAATTTTCTTTTCTTTTCTTTTGAGACATAGTCTCACTCTGTCACTCAAGGCTGGAGTGCAGTGGTGTGATCTCAGCTCACTGCAACCTCTGCCACCCAGGCTGAAGTGATCTTTCCTCCTCAGCTTCCTAAGTAGCTGATACTACAGGCATGTGCCACCACGTCTGGCTAATTTTTGTTTTTTGTAGAGACAGGATTTCCTCATGTTGCCCAAGCTGGTCTTGAACTCCTAGACTCAAGCAATCGGCCTGCCTTGGCCTCTCAAGGTGCTGGGATTACAGGCATGAGCCACCATGCCCAGCCAATCCCTTCCATTTTGTCTTCTTCCTTTCCTCTTCCTATCTTTTTTTCTCACTCAGGATGCTTTGCCTCTCCTTTCCTAATCCTTACTGGCTTGTGATGCCTGGATAGACATTCATGAGGAATGGGTGGTACAGTTTCCCTCCTATTGGTCTGAGTTACCTGAATAGACATCCATGCAGGATGGATCAAAAAGGTTGACTATGCAGGCCTGATCAACCTAGCAAGCAGTGGGATGGACTGTAACCCTCCCCTGGACTAAGTTGGTTTGGGTTCAAGTCCCAAGAAAAATCCCTCTCTCCTTCTCGTTTCCTCTCTCTGGCACCCTGGCTGTTGATCCTGTAACTCTATTCAAAACCCCTCACAATTTCACTTCTAATGTTCTACAGCACTAAAGATGACTATAATCAACAATAACTTGTTTTCAAATCCAAAAAAACAGATTCTGAATTTTCCTAACACCAATCATAAATGTTTCGGATGATACACAAATTGATTTAACCAGCACACATTATATCTGTGTATCAAAGTTCACACTGTACTCCATAAATACGTATAACTTATATGTCATTTAAAAATAATGATAAAATTATATCCAGATTCAAGCGCTCCTTGTAGCGCTTCCCACAGTCCTCACATTTGGATGGGTTTCCTCCACTGTGGTCTTTCTGTTGGTCTTTACAGTGTGACTGGTGTACAAGCCTCTTTCCACAGTCCTCACATTTCAATGGTTTTCTTTGGCAGTGGAGTTTCTTATGATTCAAAATACTAGAAGTATGTCTAAAGCTCTTCTCACAGTCATCACAATTATAAGATCTCTCTCCCATGTGGCTTCTGTGGTGGAAGTCAAGACCTGACTTACTAATGTAGCCCTTCCCACACTCCTAACATTTGTATGGCTTTTCTCCAGTGTGGACTCGTTGATGGACCAAAAGGTATGACGACCATTTGAAGCTCTTCCCACATTCTTTACAATGGTATGGTTTCTGTCCTCTGTGAATCATCTGATGCTTATGCAAATCTAGCCTATCAATGAAACCTTTTCCATACTCCTCAGATTTGTACAGTTTCTCTGCTGTGTGGACCATGCAATGCCTATTAAGACTTGACCTAAGACAGAAGCTCTTACCACATATTTCACATTTGAATGGCTTCTCCCCAGTATGAATTCTTTGATGTTTCTGAAGCTGGAAATTGTGCATGAAGGCCTTCCCACATTTTTCACAATTAAAAGGTTTCTCTCTTATGTGTAATTTGCAGTGAACTTTAAGTGCTGATCTACATCTGAAACCTTTCCCACATTGCTCACATTTGAATGGTTTCTCTCCAGTGTGGACCCTTTGATGAGTTTGCAGATGTAAACTCTGACTGAATTCCTTACCACACACATCACACTTATAGCATTTCTCTCCCATGTGGACCCTCTGATGAATACGAAGGGCTGAGATGTAACAGAAGCTTTTTCCACACTCATCACATGTATGAGACTTCTCTCCTAACTGCTGAGGAAGATCAAAGATGGAAACATCACTAAAGGATTGTTTACACTTTCCACCCTGACGTTTTTCTCTTGTGTGAACTGTAGATAGTCTTGCCTCAATCTGGGAGGGGCTGTCATCTTGTTCAAATAACTGAGAGTTATTTATGGTGGAATCTTGAGGCTTGGTTAAGTCACTTGCAATTTGTTCCCAAATTTTCTGGCAGGAAAATTCTTCATGTGTTCTTGCTTCTGGAACAGTCGCTGTCTCAGTTTGAATCCTACCTCCTATAAGGACACAGAATTAAGACACGTGGACAAGTCAAGTCTTTGCTCAGCGTTTTCAAGAGTTCACACTTAGGATGTGGCATTTAACTTTAATGAACGTTCATTTTCTGTTTTCCAAGTGCACTCTAGTTTCTGGTTTGCATGAGAGCAATTTAGAAGTACACCATGTCTCATATGTAAAATTCTGAATAGAAATAAAATACATATTTAAAAAGTTAATATACATCGGGTGTGGTGGCTCACACCTGTAATCCCAGCACTTTGGGAGGCTGAGGTAAGGGGATCACTTGAGGTCGGAAATTTGAGACCAGCCTGACCAACATGGAGAAACCGCATTTCTACTAAAAATACAAAATTGGCCAGGCGTGATGGTGCATGCCTGTAATCCCAGCTACTTGGGAGGCTGAGGCAGGAGAATCACTTGAACCTGGGAGGCGAAATTTGCAGTGGGCTGAGATTGTGCCATTGCACTCCAGGCTGGGCAACAAGAGCAAAACTCCATCTCACTTGTTGCTATTTCTAGTGAATTTTTTAGTCAGTCTTTGTGGTAAAATTTTGTGTGGTAAATTATAAAGCTAAAATATTACATAAGTAGTAAAATATGAACCAAAATGAACTTTAAGGAGAAGTAATAACAGAATAAATAGTTTGTATATTTGTCTGTTATTTATCCTTATAAAGAAGTTAACCTAACTTGAAAGAGGTCAGGATGTTGTCCTCAGCATCTGAGAGGTAATCTCTAGGATCTTGAAGTGTCATGCCTGAGGAGAGAGTCTCTGTGCTTGAGGGTAAAACCTGGGTAACTCTGGATAGTGAAACAATATTATTTAAGGTTGTACTGGCCACCCTTTTGGAGTATGGGAGGTGGTACTCCTCATGTCAGAAAGAACATCAGTGTGATTCATGGAGAGGCTTTACCTCACAGGGAATCAGTGAACCAGGGGACTAAATAACCATATGAGAATCGACCAGTCAATCATGGCTATGTAATGGAGCCCCAGTAATTACTCTGGATCCCAGCACTCAGGTAAATTTCCCTGATTGGGAGTTATCTGTGTCTAAGTCACATGCTAATCCTGGCAATGTAACATACCCCACTCCACTGGGAGAATACAATAGAAAATAAGCACTTGGTACTTCCCTGGACTCTGTTTTGTTTGGTTTCTCTCTTGGTTAAATATAATATGCATGTTTTCCCTGTAAGAATCAGTAACTGTGAGGATAAAAGCATTCAGTGAATTCTAGGAGTTTTTCCAGCAAATTACCTGACATGAAGATAGTTTTGAAAAACTGCCAAATTTGCACTTGGTGTGAAGTGAGAGCAGTCCTCTACAAAACGTCCCACTAAAGTTGGCTGAACTCTTCACAATGCCAAACATCAAACACCTCAGAGTGTTTAATATCTACACATTCAAAGTATTCCCGCACAATAATTTTATGCATGTATAAAAATACTTAATCTTATTTTTCTGTTTTGATATGGACAGTAACTTGGTTATCTGAAAGAGTACAGGAACAGACAGCTGCAGTTCTGAGGTGAATCTGAAAGGCTGTCCTTCCAGGGGTCCACTGACAATCAAAGTTGTTAAGAATCACATGGAATGAAAAGAAAGCCTATGATATAGATAAACAGGCCTTTATAACTTTTTATATTCAAGACTATGACTCAATGAGCTGAAATAAATTTAAAACCTGCAATAAACATTTACAAAAAAAGAACTAGAATGAAAATTACTGCAGCATTATGAAAATCAGGAAAAACATCATTACATGAATTGCCTACGAAAGTCACTCACCCACACCTACAAACATGACAAATGTTTTTCCGGGTCATATTGCAAGATGTGCTTCTTACTATGGCTCATGCTCACAAAATGTTTAAAACTTTGTCAGGATATTACCAAGACCTGAATTAGGTAAGTTTTTCCAATGGAAAGAAAACTTCCAAAGGTTGAATCTTGGAAAATATTAATTGGTAAGTATGTACCTTTCAGTACAGAGTAGTACATGGATATATTTAATATGCTGTCACTTATAAATAAGAGGTGTTTAAAGAGAAGGGAGAGTCTCCTTTGGGAGGTTTCCATTTTGAGAGCAGTCTCCCAATTTCTTTCACGTCATAAAGTTCACCAGATTAAAATACAATACTACATCTCTATAAAAATAAAGAGAAATTTCTGTAAAATCTATATTCCTTCACATTTCTGACAATTAAATTTGTATAAAGATGCAGAAATAGACACCACATTTTTTGAATAAAAACATGCAGAAATATAAGAAACATTTAGCTCACAGATATAAAGAATTTCTCACAGACATAAACATGGTCCTTAAGGAAAGCTCCAGGGTCAGCCCCAGGGAAGGCATGTTTCTCAGTGTGGTCATGAAAACAATGCCTGGAAGTTTCCACGGGATATGGGTCAACTGCACACACAGAAAGCCAATCATGTCAAGGGAACCTAAGAAAGTTGAAATTGGATAAGCAACCATGCACAGACCAAAAAAAAAAAAAAAAGTGTCCTGGCCAGGCGCAGTGGCTCCCGCCTGTAATCCCAGCACTTTGGGAGGCTGAGCTGGGTGGATCACCTGAGGTCAGGAGTTCAAGACCACCCTGCCATTGTGATGAAACTCTGTCTCTACTAAAAATATGAAAATTAGCCAGGCATGGTGGCATATGCCTGTAATCCCAGCTACTCGGGAGGCTGAGAGAGGAGAATCGTTTGAACCCAGAAGGCAGAGGTTGCAGTGAGCTGAGATCGCACCATTGCACTCCAGCCTGGGCAACAAGAGTAAAACTCCATCTCAAAAAAAACCAAAAAAACACCAAAAAAAAAAAAAAAAACCCAAACTGTCCTGCAACCTACAGTCAGCCTCTGTATCTGTGGGTTGAGCATACATGGATTCAACCAACATCAAAAGTATTTGGCAAAAAAGTATTTGGCAAAAATACTTAGTAAAAAAAATTCCACAAAGTTCCGCAAAGCAAAACTTGAATATCTCACACTCTGAGTCGTATACATTGAATCCATGTGAAAAAAGTGAAGGGGAGGCAATGCATTTAGTATTATAACTAATCTAGATATGACATAATGTATATGAGAGGATGTGCATAGGGTATATACAAATACTTTACATGTGTAAGAGACGAGCATCCATGGCTTTTGGTATCCACAAGTTGGTACTGGAATCAAATCCCATGGCTACCAAGGCATGACTATGTAACATTCATTCTGGTATGTCTGTCACTTATTAGCTATCTCCATGATTCTTACAGACAGTCAAGTCCTCTCATCCATTAATTCATTCATAAGAATACTAAATATTTACAGATACCTGCCATGTACCAAGAGTATTCTAGGTGCTAAAGATGCAGTCATAAAGAAACAGATAAATGCCTTCTGGAGATTACATTGCAAAGGGGAGAGGCAATATATTACTAGACAAAACTACTTGAGACGCAACACATGCAGGCCAAGAATAGTAAAGATAGGACAGTATTTTCAATAAAGTGCCGGGAGATGACCTCTCCTATGATAATAAAACTGAGCAAAGCACTGCATAAACTAAAGGAGGGGTCTAAGCTTTGTGGGGACACTGTATTCCAATCAGAGAGAAGAGCAAGCGAGGGCCTGGAGGCATAAGCTCTTGTAGTAGATAATCATTCCTGAAGGATGTCTACATCCAATTCTCAAAACCTGTGAACATGTTACATTACACAGAGGGGGAGATTACACTACAGATGCCACTGAGGTCACTAGTCACTAGTCAGCTAAGCAGAAAGTGGAAGGGTCATCCTGAATCATCCAGGAGTGATGAATACTATCATAAGGGACCTGAAGGGTCAAAGTGGAAGGCACGAGAAGAGTGGCAGAGGGAGCATGACTATAGAAGGATGGTCAGGGATGCAACGTTGCCGCCTTTGAAGATGAAGGAAGGGAAACAAGAGCCAACGAGTGTAGCCAGTGCCTAGAGACTGATAAACCAAAATGAAGGCTTCTCCCCATGAACATCCAGAAAGGAACAAAGCCCTAAGACAGCTTGATTTTTGCCCAGTTAGATGTGTCAGACTTCAGGCCTACAGAAGAGAAAGCTAAGTGTTTCTTGTTCAGTCTGCTAAGTTTTATTTCACTGGTCACAACAGGCAATACAGTGTCTTTGGCAGGATGGAGAAACAGCAGGGAGGACAATGTGCCTGGAAAAGATGGAGCAAGGGGGAGAGGACAGGAGAGGCAGTCAGGCAGTGTGGGATGAAGAGCAGATCAGAGGGTTTACAAAAGCCACTTAAAGAGGTTGTAATGGCTGGGCCTGGTAGCTCACATGGTGGCTCACCCAGCATTTCGGGAGGCCAAGGTAGGTGGATCACGAGGTCAAGAGATGGAGACTAGCCTGGCCAACATGGTGAAACCCCGTCTCTACTAAAAAACACAAAAATGGCCGGGCGCGGTGGCTCAAGCCTGTAATCCCAGCACTTTGGGAGGCCGAGGCGGGCGGATCACGAGGTCAAAAGATCGAGACCATCCTGGTCAACATAGTGAAACCCCGTCTCTACTAAAAAAAAAAAAATACAAAAAATTAGCTGGGCATGGTGGTGCATGCCTGTAATCCCAGCTACTCAGGAGGCTGAGGCAGGAGAATTGCTTGAACCCAGGAGGCGGAGGTTGC